CTAGGACCGACAGAGCACCTGCTGCAGGGCCCTGATGCATTTGGATACTTTGGCATCTGATCCTGGGTGAAGCTTATAGATCCCTTTTCAGAATAATACTTTTAAATGCAAAAACTAAAAGCATAAGAACACCAGTGATGGTGTTCCCAGTGATGGTGCAATTGCAATCAAAATATTAAAATTAAATCTGTGCTCTAGCTACAGCATTATCCAGTGGTGGGTTTGAGAATGCCCATATTCCAGAGTCATGATGAGCAAAACAGTATTTTAAGATACGGTAACACGTGTGTTGTGATATGAAATTATGTGTGATTTCTAGTAGTAATGAAGCCTCAGGATCAGTTAGTAGTGCTGTGGTCTACGGCCTTTGCTCATAACTGAAGGGAATGCCAGGTCTTAATTACAGGTTAGTGAACAAAAGTTGTAACTTTTCTCACCCATGTTCATGGACCCCCTGAGTTCTCTTCACAGACCCTGTGCCCCCCTCCTGCCATTAAGGACCTTTGAGCTAGGGAGGGAACATTCAGAGAGACCAGGGCCCAAGACTGGGCTATGGGCCATCCCAACATGTAGGAGCCTCATCAAGGAGTCAGAGAGGAGGTGATGGGGGAGACAGAAGGAAAACTGGGGGAAAGTGCTTCCAAAACAGGGGGTGGTCACCTGGGCTAACTGCTGCTGAGACAGAATAAGGTGAGAACCCAGAAGTGTCCCTTGACCCTGCTTTGGCAGAGCGAAGGGGCTCCCGGCTGGGGAGGCGTGCTGGGGGGCGGCGGTGCACAGGACTCAACAGAATGGGTTATATTTTTTCTTGAGTGTGGTAAATACACAGGCTTTATTATATTATTCTTTATGCTTTTTTTTTTTTTTTTTTTTTTCATGTGTGAAGTACACCATAATAATGTTGTTAATTTTTTTTAAGGTGAGGGTGAGAATGGAGGTGAGAAAATGGAAACAATTTGTTCGAAAATTTGTATTGTTGAGGGGAACAGAGAAATTGGAGGCACAGTTGAAGGGGTATGTGGGGTCCGGGATATTTTTTTCTTTACTTCTTATTGACTTTTAGAGAGAGAGGAAGGGGGAGAGAGAGAGAGAGAGATACTGCCTCCTGCACACCCCTTCCAGGGAGAGCCCACAATAGGGTCCGAAATCTAACCAAACCAGTGACCTTTCGGTGCACAGGACGACGCCCAACCAGCCAGGGCTTTGTTTTACTTCTTAAATGGGAGCTATTGAAGCATGTTTGTGTGTTGCAGGGCACGGTGGGTGGAAGGCTGAGAATGCAGGGAAAGAAGGGGGGGTCAAGGGGACAGAGGCTGGAGAAGCTCAGAAGTGTTTGTCTCCCTGGTCGTCAAGCCACTTTGTGACCTCTACACTCAGGGTCCCATGCTTGAGTGAGCATCAGAGTCACCTGGATGGCTGGTGCCACCCCAGAGTTTCTGATTCAGTAGGTCTGGGGTGAGACCTAGAAATGTGCATTTCTAACAAGCTCCCGGGCGATGCTGTTCCAAGGACCATGCTTTGAGAACCACTGTTTTAATCAACACCGGTGTGCCCACATGCACCCCCTTCTGGACTTGACCTTGCACTACAGTGGAATGTGCTCCTTCAAAAGCACTCTGGGGAGGAAGGGACTGCGGCAGACAGTTGAGGTGGAAGAGGGGAGAAGAGATGGAGGAGGAAGCGGCCAGAGCCTGGCCCCCAGCCTAGGTTGCCACACCTCCCTGGGGGGGACCAGTTGTCCCAGGAACCCTGGAAGCTGCCCTGTGGGACCTCCTGGAAGACTGAGGGAGAAAGTGAGGAAAGAAGCT